GATCTGCCTGTTCTGCTCCCCACTCTGTCTCTGGTGAAGCCTCTCGCTGCCTCTGAGCTTTTGGCCTGTACCCCAGTTCTGTATGCACAAATAAATCTTAAAAAAAAAAAAAAAGAAAAGAAAAAGAAAAGCAAGAACAAAATACTGTACAGTGTAACTATACAAGGTAATTTGTTACCTCTGATGTCATCCATATGTCAAAGCCATCGTTTTCACCCACGGTGTCAGGCATAATAGGAATCAAGGATACAAATCGAGCGACGAGGTCCTGCAATGATATTAACCGCGTGTTCGGAGTGCACCCCACAGGCCCCTCTCTCACAGCGCTCCCCAGTATCATTACGAAGCGATTCCCACAGGCCTTTGAAGTACACACATTATTTTTGATTCATGGAAAGGGAAACAATCTAGAGTATTAAGGAAATTTGTCCAGGGTGACACAGCTAACAGAATATATGGGGTAGACAGAAATGAACCCATGTTAGCCTGACTTCAGAGTGTGGTATTAACCATGATGCTTCATTATAATAAATTGTTAAAATTTTAAACCTGATACACTACATATGCACCTTAAATTATAACTGTTAAAAACTTGAAAAAGACAGAAGGATAGCAAAGGCTTGCGGTTACATTACAAATCAATCAGAATAATGTGTATATTTTCTTTATTGAGGTAACTTTGGCTTAAAACACGGTATATGATTTAGGGAAACAGATTCATACATCTCCTCAGCTGTATGTTACCACACCCCTCCCCAGTAAAGTACCCATAGTCCTTTACGCCAGGCAAGTGTCCCCCTCTGCCCCCTTTTGCTGCCACCCACACACAGAATTACGTTTATTACTCTAAGCTTGTTATAAACTGCCCTGGCAGGAAGTTATAGGTGCAGCCTGCTTTCCCAAGCAACAGAGGAAAGACTGGGGATTGTGTCTCCTGTGGCGCTAAGACAAGGGCTCGGGCCAAAGAAAAGAGGACACAAGGATGCAAATGTGAACAATGAATTCACTGGGAAAGTTCACTGCCATTGCCCCTGACTTACTCTGCTCCCTGCACACACCACTGCCACCACCTACACAGGTCGTGTTTTCTGACTTCATGCAGTTAATTAGAGGAGGTTCACAATCCTGGATAATCAAAGGAGCTAGGATTTCTATTTCTCTTAAAAGACAAAAACTACTTTGGAAAGAAACCTGAAAACATTGTGTCCCTGGATTTTGGATGTCAGGATGAAACCCATGGTAGAAAAAAAGCAGAGCAAACCAAAAGGCAATCTCAATTAGCTTTAAAAGTCTGACTCCTCCCCAAAAAGAAAAGTCCAGGACCAGATGGATTTACAAATGAATTTTACCAAACTTTCAGAAAAGAACTAGTGCCCATTTTATACAGACTCATCCAAAAAATTGAAAAAGAAGGAAAACTACCACAAACGTTCTACGAAGCCAA